TCTTAGAGGGAATGCCTTCAATTTTTCTCCATTCAGAATGATGCTGGCCTGTGGCTTATCATAGATTGCTTTTACAATGTTGAGGTATGATCCTGTTATCCCTAATTTTTCTAGAGTTTTGAACATAAAGGGATGCTGTACTTTGTCGAATGCTTTTTCTGCATCTATCGAGATGATCATGTGGTCCTTATTTTTAAGTCTATTGACCAAACAACATATTTCAACAGACTGAATGAAGAGGCAGACATGAAATTCCAAGTTCTATTAACCTGACATAAAGAATTTGCAAAAAATGTAAAATAGTGCTATTCTCTCTACTAAATACTGTTTGGAAGATAAATTTATTTTTCATAAAAATCTGAGCTGTTGCTCAGATCTCACTTTATCTTGCTTTGTTTTTCTTCATAGTAATACCTGCAATATTATTATTTTTTTATATCTTTTTACACTGAAGTAAAAGCTTTATGAGGGCAGAGATTTTTATTTCATTCTCTGCTATATCCCCCCAGAATTCAGAACAACAATGTTGTTTGTCTAAATTAAGGTGGGAAAGAAGAGGGAAAAAGGAATCAAAATAATATAAGGTCAAATAATTTACTGTCATACCAAAACAATAAGGTCAAATGATTTACTATCATACCTTTATCGGTTTGTTTCCATAGGGTAAAATGGAAGTAGAATTGCTAGTTTAAAAGGTTTATAGTGGTGGCTTTTCTAGCTTTGAGAATATAAGAAAATTGTATCACTAAGAAAAACAAAATATTATGCTGAATCGATTATTAATTTAACCTGATTGTGTTAGATTGTTACAGAGCAGCAAACTGGGCAAAAAATCCAGATTGTGACAGCACTTGATCATAATACACAAGGCAAGCAGTTCATTCTGACAAATCACGATGGTTCTACTCCAAGCAAGGTCATTCTGGCCAGACAAGATTCCACTCCAGGAAAAGTTTTCCTCACAACTCCAGATGCAGCTGGTGTTAACCAGTTATTTTTTACAACTCCTGATCTGTCTGCACCACATCTCCAGGTAAATAACTGTAGAAGTATCTCCCTTTTACACTTATAAAAAATTAAAAAGCTTAAATTAAAGTCCTGCCATAAAGACTTCAAATATATGCATATTATGTAGAATATAATATTGTGTAAATTGTGTTCAGAGTGTCTGTGGTGACTGCTTTTTCCTGTGGGCCATTGTACTTTCACTCATAACCCTCCCTCACGTCCAGATATTTTGAGCAGTTCTTAATTATATCAGGAAGATCCATTCTAGCTAGTTTGGCTAGGGAGCAATTTAATAACTATTAGAGCATGCTACAAAATTTGGTTCTGAGAGTCCCCTCCAACTTCTGAGGTTCAAAGTAGACACTGTCAAATTCAAGAACAACTTTTATAGCTGTGGTGTCTGGAACCAGGCTTCCTATGGTACTCATAGCAAGCTGCCAGATCAAGAACTAGGAAGTGTTGCTGCTGGCTTCAGCATTGTTCCTACTTTCTTGTCAACCACACCTTCATTGACATAACAAGCAATCCATTAATTGTCTGCTTTTACTCTCACACCTTTATCTGTTTGTTTCTATAGAGGATAGAATTTCACGGAAGTAGAATTTATCTGTTTGTTTCTATAGAGGATAGAATTTCACGGAAGTAGAATTGATAGTTTAAAAGGTTTATAGTGGTGGCTTTAACTTCGATGGTTTCTTACTTGTTTTTGATGGCCTTGACAGTTTTGAGATGGGTATAGTTTTGTGTGGAAAAGATTATGGGAGTTAAATGCCAGTTCATCATTTATCAAAAGTACTTATTGCTGGGAGCGGTGGCACACGCCTATAATCCCAGCAGCTCAGGAGGCTGAGGCAGGAGGATCTTGAGTTCAAAACCAGACTTGGCAACTCATTGAGGCCCTAAGCAACTCAGTGAGACCCTGTCTCTAAATAAAACGCAAAAAAAGGGCTGGGGATGTGGCTCAAAAGGTAAGCACACCTGAGTTCAATCCCCAGTATCAAAAAAAAAAGTATTTGTTGTCAATGTAATATGGATGGTGAGGTAAATTTGATCACCTGGCTGAAGTGCTGTTAAATCATGTTTCTTCATTGTAAAGTTACTGCTTTAAAAAAAAAAATTGGGCTTGGGGATGTGGCTCAAGCATTAGCGCGATGGCCTGGCATGCGTGTGGCCAAGGTTTGATCCTCAGCACCACATACAAACAAAGATGTTGTGTCCACTGAAAACTAAAAAAAAAAAAAAATATTAAAATTTTTAAAAAAAATCTCTATTTTTAAAATAAAGATCATATTGGAACTTGCCTACTTTATGGATTCCCTCTGAGGAAAATAAAAGAGAAACAGATATAGGTTACAGTTCCCCTAGACTGAGAAGATTTGATTCAAATATGAGCATTCCTTTTAACTTCTTTGTATTAAAATAATAGCCTCTAAAAGATAAGCACCATTTGTAAACAGTATGCAATTAAGGAAGTGTGATACTTGTCATAGGTCCTTTCAGAGGACATCTACTATCAGAAATTTTTGTTCACTTGTTATTACTTCTTTTTTTTTCTTTGATGGGGTCTCACTGTGTTGCTTAAGCGGGCCTCCAGCTCCTGATCCTTCTGCCTCAGCCTTCTTAGTAGCTGGCATCACAAGTATATACCACCATGCTTGGTGTTGAATTTTTTAAAGTACTTATTGAAGACTGATTTTTGAGGTGATATAGAAAGAAATAATACCTTATATTACATAGGAAGGAACAGTCATTTTAAGAATCGTTTACAGTTTACCATTTAAAGTTTTTTTATCCTCCATTTAAAGTTGTCAAATGAAAATTATTCATGAAGACATTCACACTCCTAAATGGAGAGAAAAAGGTGGGGATTAACAGGGGTTTTCAAGTAGCAAGAGAAGGTGTTTAAATGCTATATCATTGTTTTTGGACCACATTGATGATTTGTTAGTATTTCAAAACTTTGGGGAAAAAAATATGAAGGTTGGAAGATACCCCTAAAACAGAAGAAACTATTGTTCCTTTGCTAGTTTCACATTCCTCCTGCTTAGTGATGAGCTCTTTATATAATTTAAAAGGCCTGGTAATTTGCCGAAGACCATCCCACCGAATTTCACTTCTAGTCAGTTAGGAGCTACTGTTCATCAGACCAGAGCCCATGATCTCAACCTGCACATGTCCCCAGTCATACCTCATTAGTACAAAGTCTGAATTTTGTATGTTGATCATATTTTCAAAGTTATGATTAATTATATCATCAAAATTTGTTTATGATAACCCATTTCCCCTCAAAAAGTTCAGGACTTTTTATGCTCTTAAAAGTTTTAATCAGGCCATTCTATATGGAAAGTTTCTAAGTTTTTAAAAGAGAGTGAGAGGGAGGGGGAGAGAGAATTTTAATATTTATTTTTTAGTATTTGGCGGACACAATATCTTTGTATGTGGTGCTGAGGATCGAACCCAGGCCTCACGCATGCCAGGCGAGCGCGCTACCGCTTGAGCCACATCCCCAGCCCAGTTTCTAAGCTCTTCAAAGACATGTCATGGGGGCTGGAATTTTGGCTTAGTGGTAGAGCGCTTGCCTAGCATGTGTGAGGCACTGGGTTTGATTCTCAGCACCACATACAAATAAAATAAAACAAAGGTCCATTTACAACTAAAAAATATTAAAACAAAACAAAAAAAGACGTGACATGATAGGATTAGTAACTGCTGCAATGATTTTTTTGTTTTGTTTTGGTTTTCTGTTGTGTTGTTGTTCTTTTTAGTTATACATGACAGTAGAATGTATTTTGACATACTGTATGCACATATATATACATGGAGTATAACTTCCCGTTTTTGTGGTTGTACAGAATATGGAGTCACCCTGGTCCTATATTCATTTATGAACATAGGAAAGTTATGTCCAGTTTCATTCTACTGTCCTTACTCTTCTCACTCGCCCCTGCTTCCCTTCATTTTCCTTTGTCTAATCCAAAGAATTTATGTCCCTCCCCCACCCCCATTGTGTGTTAGCATCTGCATATCAGAGAGAACATTCAGCCTTTGTTTTTTTGGGGATTGGCTTATTTCACTTAGCTTGATAGTCTCCAATTCCATTCATTTGCCAGCAAATGCCAGAATTCCATTCTTCTTTATAACTGTATATTTACCACTTTTTTTTTTTTTATCCATTTAAATGTTGAAGAGCACCTAGGTTGGTTACCCTTACACAGCTTAGCTGTCATGGATTGAGCTGCTATAAACATTTATGTCTGCCATAATAATTTGACATTCTATATGAATAATATTAGTACCCCATCTCTCACCCTGCACAAAACTCAGCTCAAAGTGGACCAAGGACCTAGGCATTAGTCCAGAGACCCTGCACCTACTAGAAGAAGTGGTAGGCCCAAATCTCCATCATGATGGCTTAGGAACCAAATTCCTCAACAAGACTCCTAAAGCACAAGAAGTAAAATCAAGAATCAATAAATGGGATTGTATCAAACTAAAAAGCTTCTTCACAGCAAAGGGAAGCAATCAAGAACATGAAGAGAGAGCCTAAAGAATGGGAAAAAAATCTTAGGCACTTGCACCTCAGAGCATTACTCTCCAGGATATATAAAGAACTCAAAAAACTTAACACCAAAAAGCAAACAACCCAATCAATAAATGGGCAAAGGCTGGGGCTGGGAATGTGGCTCAGAGGTAGAGTGCCCGCCTAGCACGGGTGGGACCTGGGTTCCATTCTCAGCACCACATAAAAATAAAGGCATTGTGTTGTGTCCATCTATACCCCTCCCTCTCTCTCTCCCCCACTTTATTTATTTATTTATTTATTTATTTTAAGAGAGGGGGAATTTTTTTTTTTTTTAATATTTATTTTTTAGTTTTCGGTGGACACAACATCTTTGTTTGTGTGTGGTGTTGAGGATCGAACCAGGGCCGCACGTATGCCAGGTGAGCGCGCTACCACTTGAGCCACATCCCCAGCCCTCTACCCCACTTTAAAAAATATTTTTTTAGGGGCTGAGATTGTGGCTCAGTGGTAGAATGCTCATCTTTGTTTGTGTGTGGTGTTGAGGATCGAACCAGGGCCGCACGTATGCCAGGTGAGCCCGCTACCACTTGAGCCACATCCCCAGCCCTCTACCCCACTTTAAAAAATATTTTTTTAGGGGCTGAGATTGTGGCTCAGTGGTAGAATGCTCACCTAGCATGTGTGAGGCCCTGGGTTTGATCCTCAGCACCACATTAAAAGTAAACAAATAAAATAAAGATATTGTGTCCAACGACAACTAAAAAATAATTTTAAAAAAATTTTTTAGAGATAATTAAAAATAAAAAATAAATGGGCAAAGGAACTGAACGGATACTTCACAGAAGAAGAAATACAGATGGTCAAGAAATATATGAAAAAATATTCAACATCACTAGCAATTAGAGAAATAAAAAATTAAAACTACACTGAGAATTTATCTCCAGTCAAAATCACAGTTATTGGGCTGGGGATATTGCTCAGTTGGTAGAGTGCTTGCCTCACACATGCACAAGGCCATGGGTTCAATCCCCAGTAGCACACACAAAAAAAATCATAGTTATTAAGTATACAAGTCACAATAAATGTTGATGTGGATGTGGGGAAAAAGTGCACTCATACCTTACTGCTGGGACTGCAAATTTATAAAACTACTCTGTAAAGCAGTATAGAGAGTCCTCAGAAAACCTGGAACAGAACCATCATTTGACCTAGTTATCCCACTCCTCAGCATATGCCGAAAGGACTAAAATCAGCATACTACAGTTGCACAGCCATGTCAATTATTCATAGCAGCTCAGTTCACAATAGCTAAGTTATAGAACCAACCTAGGTGCCCTTCAGTAGTTGAACAGATAAAGAAAATGTGGTACGTACACACAACGGAATATTACTCAGTCATACAGAATGAAATTATGGCATTTGCCATTGAATGGATGGAATTGGAGGCTATCATGTTAAAGTGAAATAAACCAGTCCCAAAAAACCAAAGATCAGTGTTAACTCACAATAGGGAAGGATCACATTGGGAAGGTGTGGAGGGAGGAGTGGAGGTTCACAGGATTGGGACTGGATAGAGGAATGCAGGGAAGGGTGTGGAGATGAAGATGGGAATGGGAAAGATAGTGGAATGATTTGGATGTAACTTTTCTATGTTCATGTATGAATATATGATCAGTGTAATTCCACATCCTGTACAACCACAGAATGGGAAGTTGTCCTCGACATATGTAAGATATATCAAAGTACATTCAAGCCAAGTGCAGTGGCACACACCTGTAATCCCAGTGGCTCAGGAGACTGAGGCAGGAGAATCACTAGTTCAAAGCCAGCCTCAGCAGAAGCAAGGTGCTAAACAACTCAGTGAGACCCTGTCTCTAAATAAAATACAAAATAGGGCTGGGAATGTGGTTCAGTTCAGTGCCCTTTAGTTCAATCCCAAATACCCAAACAAACAAACAAAAAAAATCTATTGTCATGTATAACTAAAAAGAACAAATAAAAATAACTTTGAAATAATATTAGTGTTTATGGTTAAAATGCATTTAGAAAAAAAATTTATGTAGCTGGGTATAGAGGTATATACCTGGAATCCCTGGTACTCGGGAGTTTGAGACAGAAGGGTCTCAAGTTCAAGGTTAGCCTGGGCAACCTAGCAAAACCCTTGTCTCAAAAAAAGAAAACCAACATCAAAAAGATATTAATGTAATTGTGTGTTGAATTTGATTTTTTAATGGAGTTGTTTTGGAACAAATTGAAAAGATATTTTTGCTGTCCTTGTTTTTTATAATAGTTGAGATTTTCACCTATATATAAGACTAGTTTAGTTGATATAAGTTCACTGTTTAAGATTAACTTAAGATAAAGTAAAAAGACTGAATATTCTTTAATTTTTTTAACAGAATGAGATTGTTACCAAGTAATAACATTTTTCTTTTCTCTCTTTTTTTAAGCTCTTAACAGATAATTCTTCCCCAGACCAGGGACCAAATAAGGTTTTTGATCTTTGTGTAGTATGTGGAGACAAAGCTTCAGGTAACATTAAAAATTACCTATATGTATTGTTTTGTTAAAATACATACTATCTTTCTTCTAAAAATAAAAACAAAAATAGTTCTGGGTGTGTGGCCCAGTGTTACAATGCTTGCCTAGCATGTGTGAGGCCCTGAATTCATCCCCAGCACTGCAAAAAAGAAAAAGAAATATGTCATTTTTATAGTGACATATGACTTTATGTGATTATTCCCCCACTATTGGTGATTGAACCTAGGGCTTCCCACATACCAGACGAACACTCTACCACTGAGTTACGTCCTCAGTCCTTTTTAAATTTTATTTTGAGACAGAGTCTCAAAGAGTTGCCAAGGCTGGCTTCAAACTTGTGATCCTCCTCTCTTAGCCTCTCAGGTAGCTGGTATTATAAGTATGCACCACTGCACCCTGCTCAAAATGTAGCTAATTTTTCCCCAGAGCTTTTCTTTCACCTTCTACTTCAGTGCAGTTTGATTTGTAGTGATATAAAATGATGAATCATGGCAAGTTTCACTTTAAGTGTACACGTAGACATTTTTGAAAGTTAAATTGGAGGATTTGTCAAAGGAATCACTTTATTATTTTTTTCAGTGTATTATTTTAAAATAAGATGTGATTTTTAGTAATATATTACATCAGTTGTTAACTTCTGGGAATACAGAGTAATTTGAATTATTGAAGTGAAAAAAGCTTTGGGGAATCTTTATTCGGTGTTCTGTGTAACTGAGAAGATTGTTCTCAAAGCTTATTACTGGTACTTGGGGTTAAGTCACTTTCATTCTGATCATTATTATTTCATGCCAGAAATATACTCATATCTGCTCATACATATTCACAGATGCCAGTGGTATACAATTTAAGAGTTTTAAGTTTATTACTCTTTTCTAAAGCTTCTTTATGAAAATCTCCATTAGAACTTTTCCCAGAGTATGTTCAGTTTGTTAGTAAGTATGCAAAAGAAATTATCACGGGATAATCAAAATGTAATAGATTTCTTCAGAAATTTCAAAAGTGAACCTCATGAGTAGAGATGATTATATTTCAAATACTAGCCTACATTTTATCTTCCTTTCTGGTGTATATAGTATTCAGATTAAAGTATATAATAAAACTAGTTAATAAGTGATCTTATAAATGAAAACTTTCGGGTTGGGGATGTGGCTCAGCAGTAGAGCACTTGCCTAGCATGTTCAGGCCCTGGGTTCAATCCTCAGCACCACATAAAAAATAATAAAGATATTTTGTCCAACTACAACTAAAAAATAAATATTAAGAAAAAAGAAATGAAAACTTTTCTATGTTAGAAAAGAAAACTTTCTATGTTTTGAGTCACCCCCCCACACCCTTATCAAAGATGACATTCGGCATTTGTTTTTTAGGGATTGGCTAACTTCACTTAGCATAATCTGCTCTAATGCCATCTATTTCCTTGCAAATGCCATGATTTTGTTAATTTTTAGTGCTGAGTAATATTCCATTGTGTA